TTGGATAGATTCGTTTGGCGCAACAACCACGCAATGAATAGTTGCGTGATCTTATGTATTATCCGGCAAAAAGTTGCGCTACTCCCAACTATTTGAATTTTGCTGTTTCCAGTATAGTTGGTAGTTTGACTGGGGCGGTCACCTCCCCAATAGTAACGGAGGTGTACTAAAGACTAACTCCCTCGCAATACGGACCATATGTCAATAGTGGCAATAGCAAACTAAATTCAAGAACAATGGGGAATAAAAATATCAAATATAACTTCAATATTAATATAATCCTGGCTTAAATTGACGGTTTACAAAGACTATTTCGATTGGTAATCCAGGGACTGTTGATGGATTGTTTCAACCAATCAGAGACGTTTTAGCTCGTCCGGTCCACGGATCACTGCTCATTTTGCAACTTGCACACGTCGACGCAGGTAGATCCGACTCGGTGAGGCCGATGCGACGTCGCCGCTCCATGCTGCTGAAGTGGATGGCGATGTACCTGCTCGGACTTGCCTGTGTGTGCGTGATCCTAAACTCGTACGTTCTCGTAGCAACCAACATGTCCACGTCCCCTTCGAAGAAAGCCAAAACGGAAGCGTCGTTCGTGGATGTTTCACCCAACAGCGACTTTCCCATCCAAAACTTGCCGTACGGTATCTTTTCGACCCGCGAAGACCCCGAACACAAGCGTGTTGGTGTTGCCATTGGTGACCTCGTCTTGGACTTGAGCGTGATTGCTGCCGAAGGCCACTTCAACTTCGACGCGTCTTTCTTCGCCGAACCTACGCTAAACTCGTTCATGGCTGCCGGCAAGACCACATGGGATGCTGCTCGTGCTACCATCAAGCGTCTCCTTTCGGTGGACGAACCCACCTTGCGTGACAACGCTGATCTCCGCAGCCGTGCGTTGGTCAATCAAGCAGACGTGATCATGCACTTGCCAGCCCATATCGGTGACTACACTGATTTCTACTCGTCGCGTGAGCATGCCACCAACGTCGGCATCATGTTTCGCGGCAAGGACAATGCGCTCCAACCCAACTGGTATATCTGAACACCATTCCGTTGAAGTCATCTGGCTAATTCACATTCAGGTTGCATTTGCCTGTGGGATACCACGGCCGTGCCTCCACCGTCGTTGTGAGCGGCACTGATATTCGCCGCCCTCGTGGTCAATTACAAGCTGACAACAAGGACCCGTCCAAGGGGTCTGTGTTCGGTCCTTGCCGCTTGTTGGACATTGAGTTAGAGATCGTACGTCATGCTCCCCTTTGCAATGCGCGTTTTTCATGTATTGATTGTATCGTTGGAATCTAGGGGTTTTTCACTGGTCCTGGCAACAACTTGGGCGATGCCATCGATATCAACGACGCAGAAAAGCACATTTTCGGCGTTGTCTTGATGAACGATTGGAGTGGTAAGTTTCTCACGCAGCGCTTGCCCGCGTTGACTTGTATCGCTCACGAGTTTCATAGCGCGTGACATTCAAAAGTGGGAATATGTACCGTTGGGTCCTTTTGGCGCCAAGAACTTTGGCACAACAATCTCGCCATGGGTGGTCACGTTGGCCGCATTGGAACCTTTCCGCACTGAGCCAAGCTTTGGCCCCGTGCAAGACCCTGAACCGTTGCCGTATTTGTTGGACGCCAACTACTCCAAGGGCACGTACGACATTGCGTTGGAAGTCGACCTCAAGCCTGAAAACGGCGACTACGCCGTCATCAGCAAGAGCAACTATCGATATATGTACTGGAACATGAAACAGCAGTTGGTGCACCACACGATCACGGGGTGCTCCATGAAACCTGGTGACTTGCTCGGCAGCGGCACGATCTCTGGCAAGGCTGAAGACAGTTTTGGGTCGATGCTTGAGCTGAGCTGGCAAGGCACTAAGGACATCCCAATCGCCAACGGCGAAACCCGAAAATTCCTCAAGGACGGTGACACAATTAATATCCGTGGGTTTGCTCAAGGCAACGGGTATCGCATTGGGTTTGGCGACTGCCTCGGCAAGATTATCCCTGCCCACCTTTGAGGCCTTTGTTCTTAATTTGATTGCTGGTATTCATTATATTCCGTTGCGAGTTCACATCCGTCGTGCGATCGCGTAAGTTGATCATTCAGATGCAGACGACACTTGCCCAGCGATCGACCCTCAACGACCTGAACATGACAGTAGCGTCAGCTAACTAACGTGGAGTCTGATCGCGTCCGCGATGCGCGATGTATCTCGTGCTGAATGACGACGGAATTTCCTTCTCGAAAGATTGTATGTTGCTCAGTAGCATGTATATGTCGAAGTTATCTATCCTATTCAGAGAGGATTGCCTTCTTCTCCAAGCGGAATATCTCCAAGACATCCTTCGGCCTTTTGACCAGAGCCACACACCGCAGGACGCTCTGGACATATCAGGTAGCAACACCAGACATCTTGGATACGAGAAGGCCAAGACGGAGTTTGGTGTGCTACGTTTTCCACAAGGATGCAACAGATGAAGGGCACACCATGTGTCTATTCTATAACGATGCGTGACCACACTTGTCGGCCATCCTCCGGCCTCGGCATCTCGAGACGGTCGCTGGTGTCGGTCGAGTCACGACGTCGTCATGCGCTTCTTCGATTGGTGCGGTTCCTGCCCATGTTTGACATGTCTGCAGTTTGGGTAATTTTTCGTAAAATTCGACGTATTTTTTGGCAATCGGTCCGACTTGTGCAAACGAAGAATGGTGGATCTTTCGAAGCGGCGCGTTCCACATTGAGAGATGCGAGCATGGTACAAGGCGCTGAGCAACAAGTACCCTCGGTTGGTGGCAGGAGTCACGGCAACAACGGTCTTAACTTCAGCTGACATTACATGTCAGATCTTTCTGCAGCCGCCAGAAGAGTCCACGGGGTACGACTGGTCCCGAACTGCGGGCCTGGTACGACCACATCGAACCATATCACCTAGTGATCGTTCTCTGCCCAGGCAACGTTCGGTCTAGTGTACTATGGAGGACCGTGCAAGAGCTTGTACCTGCACTTCGACAAAGTGATGGGCACCACGCCGACAGCGCGCACGGTGGCGATTCAGACCTTCGTCGACTGCTACATCCACACGCCGCTGGCACTTATTCCTGCATTCTACTACATCACGAACGGTGTCAAGGGCAAGAGCGTCGCCGAAACAACGGTTCAGCTGCGTCGGGAGTGGTTCACCGCGTCCTTTGGGTCGGTGCTATTCTGGACGCCTGTTCAAGTGGTGAACTTTTGGGTCGTCCCCCAGCACTCGAAGATCCTCTTTGTCGCGTGTTTTTCCTTCATGCACAAGACATGGCTATCCTGGCTTGCAAACCGCCACGATCGTGAACAGCGCCGCCATCTTGTCCAACCTGATGCGGCGGCCGCTGTCGATGATTCAACCTGATCTCTAGTTCTCATTCCAACTGCAACATCGTCAGCCCCACCCCCGTCAGCGATATACCAGCACGCCGAATCGACTCCGTAGGTCCTACGGAGAGCTCCGACGAAAACGCACGCGAATGCATTGCCAAAACTTCGATTGCATTGTGTGCCTCACACGCTTGGAGTACAGAGTAACAGTTGTCAAGGCAGCAGTCGCTCAAGTTTGGAAACTCGACGAAATCATGCCGTCGAGGTCAAGGTGCCATGGATTAGAGTACTGTCATCGTTAGATGAAGCAGTCTTTCTTGCGCCGGAGGTTGGCCAGGACCGCGATGGGGTCTGTGCCCCCGACCGCGTTGATGATCACGTCGTCGTGGACGCGAAGGAACGGGTTGTACGACATTTCCTCACGCAATGTCGACGGAATCGTTGGTAAATTCTTGGACCGGCGGAGCTTGGCCCAATTGATTTTTTCCCGCACCGCTGCATTCGTCGGGTCGACGCTCAGGGCGAAACGCAAGTTGGCCAGCGTGTACCTGATCACGCCGATCGACGTCAATGAGTACCAAGCGGCGACGCTTCTTACTCGTGACCGCAATACACTTTCGTCTCCTTGGGCAGACGAAGAAAGACCTCGTACAGAGCATGGTACATATCTTCCGCTGTGCCTTCGAAGAATCGCCCTACACCGCACCATACACAGGAATGTAGCATGCTCGATGGCGTTTTCTGCGACGACTTGGCCGCCTTGCGCGAGGCCCGAGACGAACGCACATGGTCGAATGACAGCGTCGAGAAGGATGCTCTTTACGTACCACATCCACCGACAAACAGCGTGTCCCCAGGAAAAAGCAGGGGGGGCGTCGACGGGTCGCCAGATATCAAATACGCCAAATGGCCTTTCGTATGGCACGGCACGGCCAACACCTCGACGGTCATGGCACCGACCTTGAATTCCTCGCCACCCTTGAGTGGCTTGTTCAATCGAGGAATGACTTCGTTGTGTGGTCCACCAACTTGAAGGTCGGGGTACTTGTCGACCAGCGCGTCGTTGCCACCTGTGTGATCCCTGCAGTTCGGCACGTCAAAGGGGATGCACATCACGACGTCACGTACTCATGCCCATGGGTCGTGAGGATGCCAACAAATTCTCGACCTGGCTTGCCCAGCTCTTCGTCGAGCACTGGGAAGATTGCGCTGGGCTGCGCAGGGTCCACGGCCAGCACGTGCTGGTTCGCTTCGTCAATAACAAGGTAGCCTAAGTGTCAACAGTGGAGATGGCAATCTTGCATGCAACACGCTCAAACCGTAGTTATCGTCAAACATGGGCACGAGGCGTACACGGAGGTGCGGGTCCGACCGCTGAGGCACTTTGGATTTCTTGACCGTTTTGGAGGTCTCTGTGCTGAAGCGGGCATGTACCACACGGAAACTCGTAGGGGGAACTATTGCGTTGGGTCGCTGGAAGCTGTGCATAACTACATGGCGAGGGAAGGCGCGCCACATCGTCGAATGGAGTGGTGGACGCTTGAGCGCCGCCGCCAAACAATGACCGCATTGGATTGGCGCATTCCCAACGACCTACATTCTTCACCTAAGATCACATACGAGATGGAACCGCAGCGCATGGGCATTCGGTACAAGCCGCCGCTGGTGTCCGTGGAGTTCAAGTGCGGCGGCAAGTTGTATCTACATGAGATCGCCATGGACAAGTACCTCTCCAATCATAGCGTCAGTGAGCAACACCCCCTATCCATCTTTGCAATGTTGACGCTGTCGTAGGACGTGGCGGGAATTGTACGAGCAGTGCAGTTGGACCACGCAGCGTACGTCGACGACGTGTCGACCGCCCAGCTCACACGCCTTGTGCAAAAGCTTTTTCAGAAAGTCAAACCACTTGCGTCACTCCCGGCGGCCGACTACAACAACGTGTCGGATGCTCAGCTGCAACTTGTCAAAGAGAAAATGGACTCTGTCTTCCTCTCGAACGTGCTCAAACCTGGCGATCCTGGCTACGTTTACGACAAACAGGTTCGTTTAACTATCGTCCACGACAAAGCTGTCCTTCATCGTGCCTTGAGGTAGATGGAGTTTCATCCAACAGAGACCAGCGACTGGGACGATTAGCGCAAGACTGCCATCCATGCGGGTTCCGACGTCGCTCGGTCTCAACATGAATGACGATTTGGACTAACTTGTCTACCGTGTTTGGCACCTACGACGTTCGCCATGTGCACCGATAGCATGCTTGTGCACGTGTACAGTGTCGCAGACATTTGCCATGAAGGCATCGCGGCATGGTGCAGGTTGTTTTGGAATGCTACCGTCCCTACCTCCATGAAGGACCACAAGAGCATCGGCTACGATGCCCTGAAGCCTCAAGCATGAGGCACACGAGCTGGGGGGTGCGTTCCCCTCAGCCTTCGTCGGGCCCTTGTGGCCAAGGAACGATTTCAGCACGGATGCACCGGCCCCTGTATCTTTCAAACACGAAGTGACTTCATGTCATGCCACCGCCCCACATACGTTCCCGACAAAACTTGTCGACAGCATACATTAAAAATTACTCGCTTCGTTGAACTTTTGTACCCACAGTTCCTTGTCGTCGTCGGACGGCGCCCGAAAGCAGTACGTGCGGCCAGCCGTAGGCGGCGCCAGTTTGAACTCGTTACCGTGGCTGCGGGACTCGAGCACGGTGTACCCGGACACGTTGAGCGGTGGCTCCATGCTTTCGCGATTTTCTTCGTAATACGACTTGGCCTTGAAGCACAGGAAACGCCCATCTTTCAACACAAAAAACGACTGCTTCCACTTTTTCCCGAGGAAGCCACTCCCTTCCTGACGAAACAAGTACCCAGAGAACTCTTTCGGCTTCTTCGCAATGATTTCGACGGTCGCCACCGTCGCCTGTGTCGTTTCAACAGTCTTGGCAAACAAAGCGTCCTTTTCCCGCAGCGCTCGCGCGATCTGTGCCTCGGCTTCCGCGATCGAGCTCTCCACCATCCGTGCTTGTTCAGCCTTTCGCTCGTCCACAAGCCGCTGTCCATCGATTTCGCGGCGCATGCAATCCATGCGGATGCCGTTGGATTCAGCCAGACTCTGGTTGAGCGCCACGAGCGTTTGCTTGCCATGTGCAATCGTGTCCTGGAGCTTCATTTGTTGCGTCTCGAACGTTCGGTGGGCTGCCACGACGGCTTTTTGAATGTGCGCTGGTACGACGGCTTGCAGGAATCCCGTAAGCACCGCCTGCGCCGCCGGGCCTTTGGCCAAAAAGTTGTACTGCGACACAAGAGCCTCCACATTGGCTCGATACGCGATCAAAAACAGCATGAGCTTGGACTGCGATACGGAAGATGTTGACGAGTCGTCCAAGTGGGTCTTTTCAACGATCACACCGTGCAGGTACCGCACGAGTTTCGAGCAAAAGGCAGCCGAGGCCGCAGCGTTTGCCGTTTGGAATTCGTGGTACAAGCGGGCGAGCGTTACGTGGACGTGTTGGACGGCATCGTCGAGGGAATGTTCCCCCGTGAAGATCAAGTCATCGTGGGAAGACAATGCCATAAACGGGAAGAGCGCGGTCGTTGCGAGCGCGACACACTCGGCGTGCTTGGCCTCCAGCGTCCGGCTGTCGAGGGGCATCTTTTCCCGCTGTTGGTTCTGAATGTACTTGACCGGGACTTCGTACAAGCGCATCTTCTCAAAGTATACGTCAAGCTGGCTATCCTCCGAGTCTTGTGCCGGTCCCCGGACGACCGCAATGGATGCTTGGCGCTGCAGTCCGCCGCGTTTTTGCTTGAGAAAATGCAGGATGCCGACGTCGAGCGTCGACGATGACGTGTCCTTGGCGACCTTGGTCTTCTTTAAATTGCCGTACTCGTCAAACACCGAGTGGTCCCCCTGGCCGTGATCGATCACGTGGAAGTCTTCTTCGTTTTGCTTGATGCCCATCTTAATTTCAGTCAAGTCGACGACCATCGCACTGTCCACCTTGACTGGTTCATACGGCATGACTTTGACATGCATCCAATCTGCATACGTCCCAATGGCGCTGTCGGTCAGTTCATGCCAGTACGCGATGGACACATCAGTGAGCAGGTCTCGAAACGGCAGCGCCGCCCACGCGTTCGTCGACAACGGCGGCACGACCGCATGCAACAAGTGGACGAGGATGCCGCAGCACAAGTACCGGCCAAAGAACGGTTTATAGAAGGCGTGGCCGTCGGTCGCGGCGCCAACAACCTTGGCTGCTGTGTACGGTGCATTCGGGACCTTGAACATGGTCGACTTGATGCCGATGCAGTCGCGCGTCGTGAAAAAGTTGGCCAACACACTTGTCGTGGCAAAATCGTTCTGGGGATGCGTCGCCAACATCTTTTCAAAGTAAGCAGGGAACGCGTTGCCACCGCAATCTTTCTTGTCGACGTCCACCACGACATACGTGAGTTTCGGCATGTGGCGCTTCAGGAGTTGGGCATTGAGCTCGGCCGACTCGGAGACGATAGATGATGCATCACCCGATACCATGGATACGTCCATGAGCTTGGTTACGAAATTGAGGTTGCGAAACCCTTCAGAATGGACGTGGCCTTCGCGCACAATTATGGCATGCGACGCCAGCAGGAGCGCGAGAGTACCCCATTGCGGGGTCACAGTCAAGTCCACATGGCGAAGGACGAGGAGATACGTCAGGTCGCCATCATCGTCCACTTTGATAGGATTCTTCACGATGAAGAGTCCTTTCTTGGTGACGGACGGAAGGGCGACGCCAGCTCCAGGCAATTCGAAAACGACGACCAGGGAGACTTTACGATGAATCTGTCCTTCGTTCATGAACAACTGAGAGATCTCGTCATTTAAGATCCAGTGACCTGAACCATCATCTGTGCAGAATGGCGTCAGCGTCAAGTCGACTTCGGACCCTGTGGCCGTGCCTGCGGCAGGGCGGCGAGCTGCCATGTCAAAACCAAGTCCAAGTTGTCTGTCGGGGGTTGAAAGAAAGGGTTCTCCTCGCATTTTAGCCAATGGTAGAAAGGCATTACGCTAACGTGTTTCGTTTATTGCACATTAGCTACAATAGGACTTAATAATACTACGCAAATGGTCATCTTGTTAGAATTGAACTACATTTGTTTAGTGTAGGGGAAGTAAACTACTCCGGAGTACACTGTACTACTGGGCGGTGTTTTCATATTTTTGCGAAAATTCCGATGAAATTTTCGCGAATTTGCCTAAATCCATCGAGAAGTGAGGTGGCGGTGAAAAGATCCGTTCAATCGACCTCAGAGTGCCAAGATGGAGGGCATGATCAACTACTTCATTCCGGACGACGGCGACACGCCAGACCACCTCAACGTGTTCCCCATCCCATCACAACACAAAAGCAACCTAAAGCTTGCCCACATCAAGAAGGTACGACGAGATAACGAGTCGTTCGCAAGGACGTGCATGACAAATTGGTGTCGATGTTGACGGCCCCGTCTGTGCGTGCAGGAATTTCCCATCCCAGGCAAGTTTCACTTTCGCTTTAAGCAAGCATTCGAGGGCACGTATGGTTCGTACTTGTCGTGGCACGAGTAGTTCATCGTCCTTGGAGATCATCCTCGATTAGTGTGGTTGGATGTCAACGACGACGACCCGGTACCTGATTTCAATGGTCTCATCATCAGCAAGATTTCACGTATCTCGGACGTCGAAGTACCCGCGCAACACACAAGCACGTCGTCTGCATCGAGCAAGTCGGCTGCGTCATCTCCACCTTGTGTCCAAACCGACCCTTCTGCTGTCCCTGATCTCATTCAAACGAATGTATCCACGCGTATGTCCATCCAAGCGTCGTCTTGCAATCCACTGATGGTACTAATATGTCGTGCTATCGCAGCAAAAGCAGTTGACACTGCGCCCAAGGTGTTCAACGACGACCTCGTGGGACTGGTGTGTGTCCACGACTCCTCCTGTTTCAAGCTCCTTGCACGTAACCCATTCGTCCACTTGTTTAGATGTCCACTCCTATCACGAGCCAGTCCCCGCGCGGTCCTGCTATCGCCAACCCGTCGCCTTCCGCGCAATCACAACAGGTCCGTGCGGTTGCAACTCTCGCCAGCGCTAACCTCATCCTTGCTTTTGAATGCAGAAGCCAGGAGACGCTTTCGATGTGTTCGCAGGCGCGAACCCAACGATCAAGCCACCGACGCCACGAGGAGCAATGGGTGGGGCGCCATCACCCATGAACCCACCGCCCTCCGGGAGTATGAATCAATTCAACAACTTGCATGGTGGTCAGTTCAGCATGGGCGGTCCTCCCCAACCACAGCAGGGCTTCAACCTCGGCCGTCCGCCTATGATGAATCAAATGAATCCGAGCGGGATGGGCCAGATGGGACGCCCGCCGCCGATGCAACAAAACGCCAACGGGTTCAACAACCTCCAGTGGCAAGGCATGAATCCGATGCAGCAGCAACAGCAGCAGCAACGCCCACCGACAGGCCAACCCCCACGACAAAACTGGTAACGAGCAAGATGGATTACCGATGCAACGAGGATAGCGGTAGGAGATTGAGTCCTAAAGGACATCTCGCGTTTTGCATTGGGTTTGTGTACAATTGCTTTCAGAGTCAACGACAACAGAGATTTCGGTGGCGAATTCGCTTTATATTTTGATAATCAAGGCTTACTCACGGGTAGCAAAGTTACGGCTGGATGGGCCTCGTGATGCCGACCACAGGAGGCACCGACGGATGGACGGGCATGGGTTTCCTCATTGTGTCTGGAGTCGCCGCTGGTGTGGACATCCACGACGAGGACGCAGCCAACCCCGGTTGGGATGACGGAAGGTCCGACATCGCTGCTGCCGCAGGGGGTGCCGACTGTGGTGCCTGCTGTTCACTCAGATCGCCGTCTACAAAATCGACAACATCAGCACGCTGATAAACACCAGCCAGCCGCGTACCGTTGTGGAGTTGCTGCATCTTGTTAAGCTGAAGCTCTCGCTTCAGTTTGAGTTCTTCGATCTTCTTGAGGTACTTTTCCATTTCTTGGTCATGCTTCTCCATTTCTTTCGCATGCTGCCATTCTTCGTCCTGAAGCGTTTGGTCAATGATATGGCCAGTCGCCCCAATGGCATGGAAGCTTCCGCTACTGTCCCGTGTCAGGGGAGGCGACAACTGCGGAAGCGCCACAAGCCCCGCGCCACCACTGCCACTGCTGCTTCCGCTGCTGTTCGGTTGGCCCGTCGTTGTGTTCCACTCGCCCATGTCATCTTGCAATGACGACTGCTTTGAGAGCGAGTTTGGCCCCGAGGACAACGTGTTGTCGTCCAGTCCCAAGTGGTACAAATCCCGCGATGAAGACGACGACGCCGTCGATAGCATCGATGCGTTCAGATCGTCATTGAAGTCAAGCTCCAATGGCGCAGTCGCGTACGGCACGAGGTTCATCTTGAACACGTGCGGCAACGGCTTGGACGAAAACGAATGCGGCTCGGGGGCTTCTTCCCACACGTCCACGTCAACTTCGGGCAAATTCGCGAGTTTCCCTTCAATTGCCAAGTACCCAATCGAGTCGGCAATGTCGCCAACATCAGGCTCCATAATCCCAACGTCTTCGGCCAGTTCACACGCGATTTCATGCGGCGAGTCAGTGAACACGTTGAACGGAAACTTGATTTCCTTTGACTTGCCTACGAATCCGGCAATTCACACAATCAGCGTCCACTCACAGCCATGTCGACGTACCATTCAAAGTGAGACGCATGCTGAGGAGAATGCTGTGGGGAGCAGAGGGATCTTTGGTCGCACGGATTTCGTGCCGTCGGCCCACCTTGCGTGCCGGTTGGGCACCGGCTACTGGCTGTGGCTGTGTCTGTGCTTGATAGATGGGCTGCTGATGCTGCAGTAGCCCTGCCCCTGCGCTGACCCCACGCACGGGCGCGTTGTCGCCAATGGACGACTTTTTTGATATTGTCGGTACCATCGGGGGCAATGGGGACGACGTGGGCGCAGGAGGAAGGGCCGACCCATCGGACAAACTACCTTTACGCCGGGGAAGGCCGGAATTGTCCGACAACGGAGGAGGAAGCGGTGCCTTGCCAACGATGGTTGGTGGCTGCTGCAAGTTGAACTTCTTGTCGTCGGACAGTTTATTGTTCCGGCCGTCCATAACGGCTTTCCGCGAATCGTGGTTGATTTCCGTGTCCCGCATCGAAGCCAAGATCGCATCTGCAGCTTTGTCGTTGGCGGCAATCACCCCTGCCGACAGTGGCGCATCCGTCGTCGGTCGATTCGTGAATATCAGTGAATTGGATCTCGACCCGTCGTTCGCCTCCGGCAGAGTCGCCGGCGCCGCAGTCACTTCCACCGGTATTCGCTGGGGTCCACTACCTCCATTTTGGTGAAGGTGTTGTGGGTCCGGTGGGGACGAATACCGCCGTTTTTCCAGGCGAGCTGCCGCCATGGCTGTATTCAATGCATCCTGGTCGAACCCATTCAACGATTTGTGAGGAGGTGACATCGGTGGGATGGGAGCCGGCAATTCCACGCCTACAAGGGCACAATCGATCAATATCATGCAACGATCGTAGGTGTCAGTCGTGGGGCACGTACATTCGACCATTTGGTCGTCGTCGGCGGACGGTTGGAGGAACGAGTGGCCCATGAGGTACTTGGCGGTGACGTCGACCTGGCCATCACCGCGCGACAGACACAGTTCGATAAACTCTCTGGCTGCTTGGCTTTTAATCCGTGATAGTCCTTGCGGTCGGATGCCCTACCGAAATATTGCTTCGATGAGACCGCGCTGCGTGCACGAGGCCTGCCTTACCGCCATGACTTTTTTGTAAATCTGAGCAGGGTTCTGGCACTCGGAGTACGGCACTTCCTTAGTGACCATCTCCAAGACGCACATCCCGAACGCGTAAATATCCACCTTCTCGTCGTAGTTTTCGTCGTACAGTTCCGGTGCCATAAACTCGGGCGTCCCTAGAACACTCTGTGCGCGCGGCTTCTCGACCGCCATTTGGGTTGACAAGCCGAGATCCCCGATGCGCAAGTCACCCGTGTTGCCGTTGATGAAAATGTTGTCGCACTTCAAATCCCGGTGGATCACTGGCGGATTCTGGCTGTGTAAGTAGTGCAATCCTTCTAAGATCTGCAGGCACCACCGCTTGATGATCTTCCACTTCACAAAGTGCACTCGCTTGATGTACGACTTGAGCGACCCCGCAGTCATAATCTCCGTGATGAACACGACTTGGTTCTTCTCCTTCGCAAACCACGACCCATAAAAGTTGATGATGTTCTTGTGTTCAAGCTTCTTGAGCAGTTCGACTTCCTGGATAATCCGCGCTTTCTCGCCGTGAGGAAGCGCACCGATGTCGATTGCGTTCCATGCTACGTCGATGCCTTGGTCGACATCGTACGCCTTGTACACGGTTTTGTACGCCCCCGTACCGAGACGCTTGTCAAACTACACACATATCGACGTGAGCACACATACGTACACGACGCATCCTGGAGCGAGGCCGCAGGAAAAAGGGCGACACCCAACCGTACTCGTATGTAGATTCCTCGCGGCGACTGTTCCACTGCCTTGTCCCCGTCTTCCATTTTCATGCACTGATATCCAAAGTGATGCTGCCGATGTGCTACCTGCAGTAAGTCGCCCCTGTGCTCTTCCAGAGAGAGACCGTCCAGATGTTGGAGGCGGCGATGCGAAGCGCGGCGGTGGCTCGAGATGAGCCCCAGTGCGTTGGTGTGCAGTACTTGCCCGAGTGGTATCAAATTTCGAAGGTTCTTTGGGACGGGCTGGAGTTCACATCAAACGGGAACGTTCTATACAATTCCCAACTCGAAATCCAGCCGAAACGAACCTGTGAGACTTGATAGGAAACGGTATTTTATTCTATTCTCTTATTTTTATTTAAGACCTCGACGGCTTCAGCCACTGTGGGCTAATTTTATTCCATGACTTGATGAGTGACGACATAATAAAAATATACATGACAACAATATGACTGGTTTGTGTACATTTCCTACAAAGAAACCACATCACCTGTGCCACCTGACCCTCCCGAGTTTGGATGATAGGATGACATGGCCACCAGCCTTCTCGGCAAACTCGACGCTTTTGACACCACTGATGGTTGGTTCTATCAAATTGTCTCAGTTCCACGAGTCGCACGAGAACATGACGGTGAGAATTGGTGAGACATATTCTGGGGATCCGGATACGGCCCTTCCTCGACGTCGGAATAAAATTACATTCCGCTCTTCTCCAGGGATTAAAAATGCTAGATGAACAAACACGCGCCAGAAAGTGCCTCAACGAAGTCAGAGTACTTTTGCGAACAGGTGTCACGTTCTCCTTCAGCATTCGAGGTCGAATACGGTAGTGTTTACTGTAAGCTGCATACCCCGAGCGAAGAAGATTTGCAATGTGGGACTGACCCTCCAGCTTTTAAAGTAATAGGTGCCTGCAGTTTTTGCTGCAGGGGAAAAGTACAAGGAGAAGGACTACATTGCTTACTACACATGTTTCCCTCTGACGAAACATTTGTGGAAACTCCACGAGTTTGGCTCAAGACCAAACCATCCTTGCCGTGTTGCAAATCATCCAAACACGTCAAATCGGCCTCCCTAAAGATTCAACGTTTTATTGTTAAACGTCTTGACTTTTTGCGAGTTGGACTTACTACGTACGGTACAGTCTGGGACTGAGTTATACTCGGTTCTATCCAAATAAGTAGAACGTCGAAATTATCCAGACAAATACAAAATTTGTACGGATAATTGCACTATAAAAAGCACTCCAAGACATCCTTTTGGCCAGAAAATGGTCGTAAATATTAGTAGTACTGAAGTACTACTCTGGTCCATTACGATTGTGCCATTGTTTTTCACTTTGTTTCATTATACATGCTCGGATCGAAGTGTATTGGGTTTTGTATGTGTCTCCAACAACGCATTTTGGACGAGGTGAATTTAATGTGTTTTTATTGAACGAATTAAATTACTTCACCAGGGCAATTGACCATAGCGTCCAAGTGAGACTCGTCGCCAAGGCGGCATTCCATTCGAAACAATGCCTCTTCAATGCTGGAAAGCTCACATTCAACATTAAACAAAGACAAGTTCTTTACTACTCCGGTCCAAAAATTTGTCACATTCTCATTGGCGGCATTTTTCTGAATTGGACTCTTTTTGAATTCTGATTGGTGCATTAGAAAGCGCAAGATCTCTCCTTTAATTGGGTAGTTTTCGCGTGTAAAACGACACATTTTTGGGGGAGATGTCGACCACCAAAGCCCGTTGGTGATGTCGTTTGAGAACCAAACAACCCGCCCAGGGTACATTTTGCAATTTTGCGTGCGCTGGCAAGTGTGAATACATTGCCCTACACCGGATATGAACTGTGTGTGGACTGGGGATGCAAATACAGTGCTTTCCGCCGAGTCCGCGACCACGATCGTCTGAAAGCACCTTCTACTTGACGTACGTCGTGCTGCTTCTGGAGGTGTCCCACGAAGGGGACCTACCTCGTGGATCCCTCAAGAAGACAGCAGACATGTTTGGCTGTCATTGGCGGACGATGTTGCGACTGTGGAGCCGTAGTCGCTCGTCGATCCGTCAAGGGTGCCTCGTCGTCGATGTCGCGTCAAAGTTCCGTGGTAAACCTCCCAAAACCAATATATTATCATCAAAACTATTATGTTTAGCAAGTGAACTCATATTAGGGAACTCAGGACGAAAACGAAAACGTACCGCGGAAGAAATTGAAGCGGCAATCCGCCAAGTTCCACACGACCGCCGCCAGACCTTGCGCTCACTTGCCCATGCATGCCAAATCCCCAAGACTACCATCCTCAACCACATCAAGGAAGTTTCAAGGCTCAGGGCCCACTCAAGCTACGTCAAGTCGT